TTTAGTTCTGAGTTAGGTTCAGTAATTGTCTTCATTTACAATTAGAAAATTAAGTGTGAGAGTGGTCAAGTATCTTGCCTAGAATTATAAAGCAATTAAAGATTGAATTTGAGAAGACAGTTCTGCCCCTAAGGAACTTATTCTAATTCCAACACTATAGTGTGTACTTTACTTTTAGAATCCAAGTTGCCAAGTAAATAAGTTGACTTTTTAAAAAAGGTGTATGTATGTGAATATTTATGTGACTAAAATATGTTCTGAGTTTTCCTTTAAAAAATGAATTCTTGGGCCTCCCCGGTGGCGCAGCGGTTGAGCGCTGGGTTGCGAAGCTGCCCGCAGCCTCTGCAGCGCCGGTTCAATCCCCGGCTGCTCCCCGGCCACCAGAGGAGGGTCCCACATGGCGCGCAGACCTCTCCTGCCGCCCGCTGCTCCCCTCAGCAGTGTACTTCGGTCCTTCTGCCTGCTCTGCTCCCCACTCTGGCTCTGGTGAATTCTCTCACCCTCCCGTGCTTCTGACTGTACCCAGTGCTTGTATAAATAAATAAATAAATCTTAAAAAAAAAAAAGAAAAAAAAATAAAAAAAAAAAAGAAAGAAATTTCTTTAAAAAAAAATGAATTCTTATTTTTTAATCAAAATAATTTGTGATTGCTTTTGTCTTAGCTTTTGGTCAAAGCCCATGATAGTAACTTGGTGTGGTGGTTATGGTGTCTAATCATTGATTGGATCTAGATTAGACTGATTCAGGAAGCAAGGTCTAAGTAGATTTGAAGATTGTTCCATAGAGTCCATGAAAATCTAAGTGTCTGCCTAGTGCTCCATCTTCTTTTGAGGAAGCTATTGCCGTGGAGTTTTGCCATGCTTTATGTTACCTGACTCTGTTGCCCTGGTCATAACTGACTACATCAGGGACTGGTGCCCAACTCAGAGGCAATTATTTAGAAGGTGACAATCAGTCCATGTTTTGGGGGGAATATGGGTAGCAAATGAACCTAAGAAGCAAGGGACAACAGGATTTCAAGCAGTAACAGGATGTCAAGGACACTCTGCTCAAAGCGCGACCCATGAATCTGTCAGTACCTGAACTCTCTGTTACAAGCGTATGAAGAGACAATACTGAAATTGAGAGTAAAAGTCTTCATCATGACTGAGCTTTGCCAGATCATCCAAGCAGATGATCTACATGAGTTATGTATAAGTGCAAAACGAATGATCGTCAACTGTAGTGACTTTAAACAGCGGTAAATAGTTATTATTTTATCCATTTTCTGTACTTCAGGAAATCAGGATCTACTTAACTGGTTGTTTCTGGCCCCAGAGCTCTCAGGAGCTTGCTGTCAAGGCAAGCTGGAGCTGGAGTCACTGAGGGGTAGACTGGGTAAGGGAGTCACCTCCAAGGTGACCAGTTCCTGTGGCTGTTGGCGAGAGACCACAGTTCTTTTCCACATGGACCTTTTCTTAAAGCTGCCTCAACATCCTGCTGACATGACTGCTGGTTACGCCAGCATTAGTGATCCAAGAGACAGAGGCTGCCCTGCTTTTTACAACTAGTCTCAGAAGTCACATTTGGTAACTTTTGCCATGTTCTAGTCATTAGAATGCACTCAAGAGAAAGGAAGTTGGATTCCACCCTTTGAAGAAGGGAGATTCAAAAATCTTGTGTACATATTTTAAAACCACTCTAGTGTATGCACCATGTCAAACAGGGTGATGACAAGTTTGTGTATCATGGGACTTGCATAGCAAGTTGCAAATGGTGAGAGCTGTGAGGTAGTCATGTGCAGCTGGACCACTTACTCCACAAAAGTGTGGGTACTTAAAGGAGTGGTTCCTCCCCAGGGGTATGTTTGGAAGCACTAGTTGAGACCCTTGTATTCTAAAACTGTGTCTTTAAAGGTTTTTACACACAACCCTAAAAGAATGAAAATCGATGTAAAATCTATTACTACATTTTAAAATTAATGCCAAACATGTTTAATCATAAGTTAAAACATCTTCTGATACATTACAAATACTGGTATTTCAAAAGAAATAATTGTATATCTCTTAAATTTATCCAGTGGAATTTAAATAACACAATGATTGGACACTTGCCATGCTTACTTAAAAACACTTGGACAAGACTAATTTAACACTTGAAATTGTATGTCTTTTCTTTTTTCTTTTAACCCACTTTCTCGTTATTTTTCACCTACCATACATTTCCATTTCACTTTATCCAGAAAAAAAAATCTTAATAAAAATTAATCTTTATTGAAAACCTTTTATCTATCATCCTATCATAATTGTTTGCTAAGAAAATATGTATATACATTGAAATTAATTACAGAAAAGTAATTTCATTTTCTGTAATTTAAGACTTTAACTGTTAAAATTTTTTTCTGGGGCCTCCCTAGTGGCTCAAGGGGTTAAGTCTCAGCACTATGAAGCTGTCGACAGCCATTGCAGCACGAGTTCGATCCCTGGTCAGAGAGCTAACCCACTTGGTGCAAGAGACCTCTCCTGTCTTGCCTGCTTCTCCCCTCAGCAGTGTATTTCAGTGTATCTGTCTGTTCAGCTCCTCACTCTGTCTCTGGTGAATCCTCTCACTCCCCCGCACTTCTGGCCTGTACCCCAGTTCTTCTATGTGAAAATAAAATCTTAAAAATTTTTTTTTCAATCTGGGTTAACATACAGGTAGTGTTTGTATATAATTGATCAAAATATGATAAACATTAATATTGATAAATAGCTATTAGAATTAAATTTTCATTGGAATTACTTCTATAAATCAGAAGACAGAGTTTTTACCTTTTTAGTTCGTGATTCTGTAGGATAAAAGTGACTTATTGCCAATATGAGAGAGCTCAGTATTAATTTTATATCTAGTTGTCAGTTTTATAGATGTCTGTGTAAGAAATTTTGTCCTCACAAACAGATAAGTGTGAACAGATAAAGTTTTGTCAAAATAGTGTTACTTAATATTTTTGATACTTCAGACTTCTATACCAAAATTTACACTGACATCTCTCATAAGAATGATTTTTACTGATCTAGTTGCTGATAATTGGGTTTCACTTCACTTTTGCTTAAAGCAAAGAATTGAAAACAGCTCTGCCCTTCAAAGAAATCTGTTGTCATATGAGTGATTCATTTCTCAGCCAGGAAAATACCACCCCCCAAATGTTTATCCTTGAAAAATTTTCACCAAGTTTTAAGAAGTGATTATTAATTCCACCTGGTAGTCTTACACTTAGAGGTACCCTATTAACCCTACATGTTTAGAAAAGGCTCAGAAATAAAAATATTATTCATTTCAACACAATTTTACCATCATGGTATTTTCTTTCAAATGCTTTTAACTTCTCAGACACTTTAGAACTAGACAATGAAAGCCTTTAGCTCATTCAGTTTATGAAAAATTAGGTCTACCATCTGACCTAATCATCAAAGCCAGTCTGTTTTTCAAAGAAATTAGTCAAATCAGACATACTTTATGCTAAAAAGTGTAATTCCATTTTTATTAAAATAAACAGATTGCTATATTTATATTTCATGTATTTTTATAAAATTCACAAAAAATAAATTACAGGTCATATGATATAGATGACAATAATCATGCCAACATTTAATGTTATAAAAAAACTATATTGTTTCTTTAATCTTCTATAAACCAATATAAAATTAAGTCAAATTTATTACATTTTAAAGAAAACGGTGAATATAGTAAAAGTCAGGCCATTCCTTCTATGTGTGGATATGTATTGAAGCTTATTCTTTTTTGATAGTTTTAATTCTCCTTGTTTTTAAAAATATCAAAGACATTTATATTTTGTATTGTTCTAGCTAGTGAATTTGCCTATCTTATCCTGCTGTTTTATTTTCCTCAGACTCTTAACTCATGGTCTCTTGCTTTCATTTCTGTTTTATTATTTTTTTTTTAATTGCAGCAACATTTGTTTACAACATTGTATCTGATTTAGAGACAGAGGATCACACTGTTTTGTAATTTTTAATTGTGTACTCATATTGGTTATAATTCTACCAGTGGGATATTTTTAGGGGCTGAATTTGAGCATGTGTTTTCCTAGGGAAGATTTTTGTTGTTTCATTCAGTTATCTGTGGGCACTATAAATTAGGCATTAGAGTATGACCCATGTTAAATTGTAAGTTTCTATTTGCAATTTAACAAGGCAAGTATTGATCAACTTTTACAATATATGTGAAGACTATCCTGTGGTCCTGTGCTAAAAACAAACAAACAAACACCTTTCACCCTTTTAGGGTCCCAGAAAATATTCTTTGCTCTTGCTTACCCTTTCCAGAAGGCATATTTTTTGTATGAGGTAATCTTACCTCTGTCCCCTTCCTTCCTAATGCCACCCCCACTTTCACCCAGTCCAAGGCTGTTTCTCCAGCGCCCTCTACAGGCGAAAGCTCTAACCCTTCTGGATTCACGCAGGCATCCAACCTACTTAGCCATTTCAGTTCTCTGTTGGTCTCATGTTCTTGATTTCAGTAGATTTCCTTTTCATTCCTACAGATTTTTGTAACAATTTGAAACTAATTTAAAATAATAAAATTATTTTATAACAAATACAGACTATCTAACACATCTGTATGTCAGGCTACCTAATATGCCACATTATCAAAATGGCATCTTGGAATAGAGTAGAAATCTGGCTAATTTCAAGAATTGTATAGGAGAAAAATGATTATCTTGCAATAGTTTGAAAATAGTCCTAATCAGCCTTAGTATTTTCCTATATTGATCCCAATATTTGAAAGCAAAATGGGAAGATATGGCTTTATACCTCATTTATTGGCAGATTGTTCTCAGAAAGGTATAAATAGAGAATGGTTTTATTGTGTTCTGTCATGGACTTTACCCAGACCCCACTGAATCTCTTTTCCCATCACTTGATATCTTAAGTAGATTTTATAACTTTCTAGCTGTCTTTTTCAATTAAATGTTTCAATCTCAATTCTATCTAAATCTCTTTTTCTCCCTGGCCTTCCAGTGAGACTTCGCCTATGGGTCCAAGCACTGTGTGGGAAGGGGGCACAGCCTGCTCGTTCATCCCCCTCTGAATCCCAAAGAAGGGAGAAAAATGGAAAAAAGTAGAAAATGTCACTTTTCTTGGTGAGTGAGCACACCATCTTCTCTCTCTTAGTTTTGTCAGATATATGTGGAAGGTGTGAATGAGCTGATTTTCTCTGGAGATCATGTGAGTTCCTTAGAAAGACTGTGGGAAACCCCCAAATCACAGCTTCTTAATGAGGGAGACCCAGCTCTTGCTTGACCATTTCTTTCTCTCCCAGCCCATATGTTTGTGCTCTCCAAACACAGTCTCCTTGGTGTGTTTCCTGAGTGTGTGAAACAGTAATCTTGTTAACTTGAAGCCTCTTGTTTTCAAATCTGAGTTACCAACTTCAGTGCAGTAACAAAAAAATGTCCAATTTAATGTCTTTCACATTGTTTTATTTTAGCAGAACAGGAAGGACCTCTTCATTCAAGTGGGTCCTTGTGGTCAGTTCTGGTGCTGCATTTAAGGGAGATGCTGAAAATCAAATTTCCCCCATCACTTCTTTGCCCCATTCAAATTAGATAAATTAAGGTTGTCAGATAAACTAATGGTAAGAAAATCAGAAGTCTCTCCAGGGATGAGATATTCACTGGAGTATTGAACATGCTTAAACTGGAGAATAAAAGACTCAGTGATTATATGATAACTATCTTTAAATAGATGATGGATTTTCAAATAGCATAGTGATTTAAACTTCTGCACTGGGATGTTACAAGGAAATTAATTTATTCTAAGAATTTCTCAAAATTAGAACTTTCTAAAGGAGAAATTGACTATTCAGGAGGTGGTGAGATCCTTATTATTGAAAATATTTAACCATTATTTGAATACCATTTGGTACGGTTGGTAAGGGGCTTGAGCAATAATTGTAAATCATGAGTTGATTTTCAATATTTCTTTCAATCTTTTGGTTCTTATACTCAAGAAGATGACAGGATAGTCAACCATCTTAGCCTATATTTACAAGGAGTCAGAATATTTGCGAGATCAACACTGATCTAGATTTTGATTTTCAACTTTTTAGCTTTCTGTTGAAAAACACAATGTTTGAAATCCTCCTTTATAATGTTGTAAGAACGCACAACATTTTAATGTGTGTCTAGCATTTAGCTAGAATGTTGATGTATTTAAAGAGACAATATATGGTTTTTAGGAAGAACACATGTCTATTATTTAGGGTACCATTTCACCAATATCAAGAGCATTATTCACAGTCAAAAATTTTTATTGACTAAGACTCAAAATTCAGGTAATTTGACGGTTTGAAAAAGAACATTGAAAATTATTGCTCTTTCAATATATTCTATTCCTGGAATATTAGTGTTTCAATGCTGACTGCTATGAAGCAGATTGTAATTAAAATTCCACTGAGTTTTTTTTAACCTGAAAAAGTTGTTTCAAAGGTTAGTAAGTGTTAGAGAAAAATCATAGGCAAAATTTTTGAGAATGGAGAGCATATAATGTACACGTATGTTGTTGAAATGCTATAGTAATTAAAATAGTATAGTACGGATATAAAATAGATTAATAGATTGGTGGGTAGGAATAGCTGATCCCCAAAGTAGACTCTGGCATATAAGAGAATTGAATATATATTTTAAGGAAGCATCATAAATCAGAAAGGTTGCACATATTTAATTAGCCATGCAAGAAAGAAAAAACAGACTTAGAGCTACATTTCATGCTACATATTTCAAAATATATCCTGTTAAAATATTGTTAATAGAGCCACAACAAAACCTAGATTAAAATAGAATATTTAAAATTTAAGGATTAGGAAGACTTTTAAATTAAAATGTGGTTGAAGAAATAACAGAGAGAAGAAAAATATCTTGATTATGTAGAAATGTAAAACATCAAAAAATTTATACAATTAAAAAAACTGGTGAAAAGCAATTGGCAACACATGATAAAGTAGCATTTATGTTCTTTACCAAATAGAGCTCATTCAAATTCACAAGAAAAAGTATTACATGTACATGACAGGAGACAGCAACACACCATTCACAAAAGAGGAAAATCAAATGGCAAATAAACATATGGGAAAATGCTCAGCCTCATTAAAAATTGTGAATTAAAATGAGGTGTAATTTTACCTTCTTACATATCAAAGATTTAATTGTTTTGAATACTAATCATGCTGATGAGAAAGCAGAGGAAAGCAATTTAGTAATGTGTCAAGTGCTTTAAAATGTCAGTATTCTTTGGTCTTGTGATTTCCATTCCAGAATCTGTCAAGAAAATAAGACAAAGCAGAGCAAAAGTTTCATATTTTAGCAGAACATAAAAAAATCATAAAATTTTTAAATAAAGAAATTAGGCAATAGTTCAGTAAATTACAGCATCTCCATGTTAAGTAATATTGTGATACCAGAAAGGTCATATTTATGAGCAATTTTTAATAAGATGGAAAAATGCTTATATTATAATGATAAGCTAAAAGATGAAAGTATTTAATTCCCTACAATATGTTTCACAAAAAAGACTACAAAATAGGGCCATTGAAATATTAGCAAAAAAAGTGCCATCAGTATGAAGGATAAAACCACTATCCTTTGGACCATGTTAGATAAACACAGCCAAAATTCTTATTCTTTGGCTCTGTTTTTTCTCAACACCATGTGGCTTACCATCCTTCTGTTAACTCATAATTTCCTCAGTCAGATGATAACAAATTTAATTTGATAACTTCTTTCTTTTCATTAGTGGTATCAGCAGGTAACCTGGATTACCTTGGGACATTTTGGCCTCTTAATCAGATATGGGAATCTCTTTGGATTTTGAGAACACATTTGTAAACAGATCTAGATAAAGTTCTTCAGTTGATTGCTGTTGTTTTTTAAAAGTTGTAGGGGCCTCCCCTGGTGGCTCAGTGGTTGAGCGCTGGGCTGCGAGACTACCCGCAGCCTCTGCAGTGCCAGTTTGTTCCCTGGCCACCAGCGAGAGTCCCACAAAAAAAAAAAAAAAAAGGTGAGACTAAAGCCTCATTTGCACTAACTACACTATTCTCTTTCGTCGTTCTACTTAGTCACCTAAACTTTATTTCCCCTTTTGTTGTTATACTGCCATATTGAGCTATTTGAGGGACTGCACGTGTGAGAGGACATCTTCAAGCACTCTGACCCAGTTTAGAATCTTGGTCTTGTAAGCAGGAATCCATTGTTGGTAAGGAACCAGAGACCTAAATGTAAGATAACTTTGAAAGAAATCACCTAATCATGCTAAATATATTTCGGTTCTTATACCCAGATTAATTACATTTCAGTGGATTAAAGTAACATGCAGGTGTGATTTGTGATTACAATAATCTTTGTGAAATCATGAAGAATAAGACCTGTAAAATGAAAGTGGACATGAACAGATGTCCTGGCTAAGTATGATGCATATATCCCTGGCAAAATGTTAGGGGGGATTAGTAAACAAAAGTTTATTGCACTTGGAAAGGACATAGTGATTACCAGAAATCAGCATGAGTTTATTAAGAAAATGACACAGCAAAATAACCTCATGGTTCTTAGGATTAGGGAAATGGAAGCAGGTCATTGACAGGACAGGAAATGGTTCAAAAAAGATGCACAGAATGGAATGCTATTTAGCTATAAAAAAGATGAATTCTTACCATTTGTGACAACATAGATGGAATGGGAAAGGATTATGCTAAGTGAAATAAGTCAAAAGGAGAAAAACAAACACTGGATGATTTTACTTACCCCCCATGGAAACAAAGAAAAGGATTAGACAAATCCAAACCAAAACAAACCCTTCGAATCTAACTGACGAACTGAGGCTACCAGAGCTGGTGAAGGGATGGGGACAAATGGTGGAGAAGGCCATTGAATTGTGATGGAGAATTACTAGTGTTTTGGTGATGGGTGCTATGGTGACACATATTTAAAGAGATGTGAACTTATACTCCTAAAACCCAGGGTGTTGTAAACCAACATTACTTCATTGAAAAAGTACTTACATACACACACAGACATACAGACATGCTGACATAGACACAAAAGGCACTGTCCTAATTGCATGAGTAGAATTTCAGAATCTGGCAAGATTTGTATCGTGTTCCCTCTGAGATGGTACAGAGACTTGGTACCTAATTGCTTTTGTGTCTAGCCATGGATTTGCAGAGGTTACTCAACCTCAGCACTGTTGACATTTTGTGTTGGATAATTCCTTATTGTGTGAGGGTTGTGCATTGTAGGATGTTTACCAACATACCTGGCATCTACATAACTTATGACAGCAAAAGTATCTGCAGACATTACCAAATGTCCCCTAGGGGGCAAAATCACCCCAATTGTGAACCTCTTATTTAGGAGGATCTCTGACTGCATGATTCTTACTAGAAGGAATAGAATTCTGCCTAAGATATGTGCTCTACCGGAGGGAAGGTGTTGCACAGAGATGGAGATTCTAAAGTACAGACGTGACTTCCCTTAGATCATATGGTTAGTTTGTGCTTGCTGTGCTCTTCGAGGTTTGTCCAGTATGTCTCTCTGGAATAACTGGACCTGAGCCTTCTTTTCATTTTAGTAGTGAGATTGGTGTTACTAGCTAGCCCCGTCCATCAGAGACTTCTTTGGTGGCGTCTGTGATTTACCCATAAGACTCTAAGAGTCGTGACCAGGTTATCTTTGGTAAGTTCACAGAAGGTATCACTTAGATGAGTGATTTGCAGATATCCAAATAATCTATTACAGACCAGTGCCACTATGCTATAAAGAAGGCTCCATGGAAGGAGGGCTGGGCCTCCAAGAGTCCCACTCGGGGACTTGAGGTTGACTCAGTTCAGAGCTTCTCCTAAGTAAGTGGCTTATAATGGGGCAGAGAGGGGTGGTGGTGGGGATTTTGCCCTCTAGTACCAGCAGCTGTTGGAGACCAACGAGTATTCAGGTTACATTTAAAGTGACTGAGAGTTTGAGATGATTTGGAGTCTAAAGATTTATGGGCTTCTAATCACAAGACATCCTGGGGTCTGCCTCAATCTAAGATTACCCAATTCCACCCTGAATAGAGAAAGTGAATCAAACTATCCTGGGAA